TCATGCTTGGTTGGATTCTGCTTCCTCACTCACCCCATACTTCGTAATTATGTCTATCGCCCTGAAAAAATCCACCTCCTTGAGCATGGCAATGTGTCCGATGCGAATCGGCTGCAAGCGCTCCATGTAGTCCTCTAGGCGATTGCTGGCCTCCAGTGACGCAGTGCGAAATTCCGTAATCAGAACGTGCACGTTTTTCCTTCGCAATGCGATTTTTTCCCCCGACCTCCGATGCCCTTTGGTGTTTTGAACTCGGATCACATGAGCAAAACTAGAACTAGAGGGTCCGTGGCTGGACGTTTTTATATATATATATATGTTGGTCTCGGCTTTGGGATTGCTATCCCTTTTTCAACACCTGTCAGGTGAGGGTTGCCAGACTTTATGTCAGTTGCCACATGTCTGCTTTTCCTCCTTCTCCTCCTCAACCGCAAGTGTCGGATGGCAGAGTACCTCAAACGCAAGTGTAGGACGGCAGTGTTCCCTGCGGGACCCCAATCACCAGCTCCCAACGACAGTGTTTCCCGTCAGACTTGAACCGCCAGCTCCAGCCACAACGCACAACCACAAAGACATATCCACAACACACAAGCACAACACAAAACCACAAAGACAGATCCACATCCACAACGCACAATCACAAAAAGAGAGCCACAACACACAACCACAGCGCACAACTACAGCAGAAAACGGCAACAAACAACCGCAAAGAACTTGAGGCGATGGAGGTGGACGAAGGGTAGAGGTTGGAAGGTTCTGAGCAGGAGCAAGCAGCAAAGCAGCAGCAGCAGCAGCAAAGCACAAAGGTAGCGCCAGCAGCAGCAGCGGCGGCGGCAGCGGCAGCAGTGGCAGCAGCAACAGCAAAGCAGCAGCTGCAGCACAGCAAAGCAGAAAGCAGCAGTAGCAGCAGCAGTGGCAGCAGCAGCGGCTGCAACAGCAGCAGCAGCAAAGCACCAAAGCTCACGAAAGTTTGGCCTCCACAATCCTTGGTGTTCGTTCAGTCTCGGGGGGCTGCGCAGACGAAATTGAAAGAGGGTGGGGGCTTGTCATGGTCGAGGGCAGTGAAAGAAAGCGCCAACAGGTAGCGCATGCCTGTAACCAAAGCAACCTGTTCCGTTGATACCCTAACCTTCTGCGTCGTGCGTTTTGCCACAACAACGCTGCCTTACACAGGTGCGCGCTCCGGCAGCGGGGCGCACTGCTTGGAACATGTGGGCACATTGCTTTTGCTGTGGGGTCGTTTCGGTCAGTTCGCTTCTGTCAGCAATTGAGGTGGTAGAGCCGCGAAGGTAAAGGTAGTAAAGGTTATGGGTCAGGAGGCCCGTCAGAGAAGTTATATACAGACATGTTCGCAAGCGCGCTCCGCCAGCGGAGCGCGCTCTTGTGCGCAATGGTTTTCTATGAGATTGTTGACCGGGGTGTACATGTTTTTTTTGGATCCACACCGGCACACCCACAACACACAAACACAACGCACAGCCAGAGCACAACCACAACACACAACCACAAACACATAACCACCAAAAACAAAACCACAAACACAACTACAAAGACACAATCACAAACACACAACCACAAAGACACATCCACAGCACACAGCCACAACACACAACCACAAAGACACACCCACAGCACACAACCACAACGCACAGCCACAGCACACAACCACAAACACATAGCCACAACACAAACACATAGCCACTAACACACACGCAACCACAAACATTTCAAACAATATGGCAAGTAGAGTCTTAGAATATTTAATTAGGGGATCACACTCAGATGGCGTCTGGCTCGTAGAACAAGCAGATGGAAACGGGTTCCCCAAACCTCTTGCCGGAGAGCAGGGTTTCAACGTCCTTGTTTCCTGGAGGGGTCATGCAAGTTGATCCGCAATGTTTCATACTGAATGCAATCTATTTGTTCCTGGCAGTTTGCATCTCCACTTGTGGGTATCATTGAGATTTTATGCATTCTTGTGCAAATGGATTGTAACAAAAAATCTGGATGCCATCAGCCTGTTCTTGGTTGAGGCTGGCTTTGCTAGATGGCATCCGAGATGCCAAATTCACAACCAAATGGTGTTCCAAAGGCGTTTTGCGAGTGCCATCTGAGTGTGGCCCCCTATACCAGATAGAGCGACATACTTTAAAATGTTTCTGCGGTGTGTCCTGTACACCTCTTCTTTCTTTGCCTTTATCGGACCAAACACCTGACCGGCGGCACGCCGCTGTCTTGCAAGAATGTCAGTGACATCTGACAAGCAGCAGAATGTGCCAGAAATAATGCCGAATGTTTCAATACATGCCAGAAAACTTGTCAGATTGAAATGTCATGGTGGGGATCACTCGAAGTGAAGTAATTGTCAATCCGTTGCTGAGTTGTTGGGAGGCATCGTCTACATGTGAGCGACGGTCAACATTTGTTGTGGAGTTGCAGGTCATCAGGATTTGGTGAGTGTATTGTCGTGTGGCACTATTCGTCACTGTCACCAATTTTGAGCCCAGCCCATGTACAGTAAAGTAAACAACCTGTCCGTTTCACGAGTGCTAAATTGTGTACAGTCACAAGACCAAGCATCGTTTTTGGGATTGGTGCCGCTTTTGAAGCAACATCAACACTTCAATTTGTTCAAAGAATGTGAGCGCTGACCTTTTGCGCTTTGCCCACGTGCTCGGGACAATATTTTGTGCATTCTGACGCGTAGAGCCTTGGCAAAACCACCGCATGATACCTTTGTATACCTATGTATAAACACGACCACAAGTCCTCTTTTCACGCGTTGCAGAGAGTTGGTCA